GTCCGAGCCGAAGCTCTTCCTGAGCTGGAGACGAGCCGCGCGGATCCAGTCGATCAGCACCTCAGTGACCGCACCCTTGCTGCGCAAGGGGAGGACTGTGGTGTAACGCGAGTAGTCGTCAACCACCAACAGGAAGTAGCGCTCGTAATCCTGCCCACGGACGGGGGATGGGCCCCACACATCCATGTGAAGCGTCTGCAGGGGAGCCTCTGTCGGGGGGAAGTGGGAGGAGTGAGGAGTAGCCCGGAGGCGACCCTCGACACAGGGGACACAGGAAGGTCCTGGCCCGGAGGGGAGAGGAGGGAGAGACTGGGGAAGACCAGAGACAAGGACACGGGAAGCCATGCTCCGAAGACGGGGCAAGGAGGGGTGGCCAAGACGGTGGTGCCACAGGAGAGTCTCGTGAGACAGGAGGCGACAAGAACAGGGGGCAGACTCAGGACCTGACCGGGACGCAGCAGCAAGCACCTGACCCGACGCAGCCACCTGACCAGACGCAGGGACAGGAGGAGACTCAACGGTCAGGGTGTAGAGACTCGACCCTGGCCGACGCGAGAACGTGGCCAGGTGTCGGCCTGTGCGTGCCTCCGTGCAGTGGGTCACCCGCTGACTCGCAGGAGTGAACTGGTGAACCCCCACATCCTGCAGGTCCGCTCCACTCACCAAGTTCGTAGAGAACGAGGGAAGGTACAGACCCGACAGGGTGCCCGAAGGGGCAGCCGGACACGGGAGGACAGTGGAGAAGTGAGACAGGACAGGACCCCCAGAGGGGTCAGCTAGGGAGACCGCAACCGGCCGGTCGAGCGGCGTAAGGGTAGTGCGGTCTCGAAAGAAGGAGCGAGAAGCTCCGGAGTCAAGTGTGAAAGTGAGGGAGGACGAGGACGACGCAGTACCTGAGAGCGCAGTCTCACCAGTACCTGAGAGCGCAGACGCACTGGCACCTAGAGCAGCAGCCTCACAAGCACCTAGCGCAGCAGTACCAATGCCCGGGTCGGGCTGGAAACACCGGTAACCCTCATTCTCCTCACTATAATCCACAACATACATAGCAGCAAGGATAGCATCAAAATCAAGATCAAAGATCGCTACACCAGCCCTAAGGAGCTCATCCCAGCGAGGGATCTCACTAGCCCCAGGGAACTGCTGACGCCAAGCGTCCGTCAGGCGGCCAAAGCAGCGCTGGGTGGCGTGGGCACCCCCACACTGCGCACCCGCGCGGTCGCCGGAACGAAGAACGTAGGTGCAGGGACCAGTACCCCCACCCCTCTGACGCCCAGCGTACCACTCACGAAGCTGCTGAGGCGGAGGGATGTCCCGCGAGCGCTGCTGCTGCTGCCGCTGCGAGCGCTGGCCACCACCACCGCCGCTACGCTGCTGGGTACCACCCCGACCAGCTCCACCTCCTCCACTACCACCGCCTCCTCCACTGCCGCCACCACCGCCTCCACCTCCGCCGCCTCCACCTCCGCCGCTGCCTCCACCACCACCGCTGGCACTACCACCACCGTCTCCGCCGCTGCTGCCACCACCACCACCACCCCCGCCACTAGTCCCGCCGCCACCCCCACTCCCTCCGCCGCCACCGCCGCCACCGCCACCGCCCCCTCCAGCTCCACCCGCACCCTTGCCCCCCTTGCCCTTGCTGGAGCGACGTCTCCCACTAGGGGCAGACGCCGCGCCGACCGACTCAAGACCAAGCAGGTCGGCAGCAGCAGCAGAGGCAACAGAGGGCAGCAAGGGGGAAGGAGAGCACCCCTCAAAGATGGGGGTGCGAGGGTCACCACGAGAAGCACCTACAGCGACTATGCTCTTCTTCGCTGCGAGGAGGGCCTTCTCGAGGAGGTCGACGGTGAGGGTGGTGGGACAGACTGCGAGAAAGTGGTCCCTGACGACGCGAAGGGAGTCAGGGAGGCGCGCGACTACGTAGTAGAGAGCGATGTACATGGGGGGTGGGTTCTTAGCGCAGAACTCAGCAGGAAGGGCGGCGCGGTAGCGAGTGTCACTAGTGCGGAGGTGCGTAATGAGATCAGCGACAGTGGGAAAGGCAGAGAGGTCAGGAAAGAGGTAGGGAAGCATGAGACGGCTCAGTGCAGCAGTGGCAGGGGAGGAGTAGCGCGCAACCACAGCGTCGTACAAGGTCTGAGCACTCTTGTACTGACTAAAGTGCGCACGCTCAGAGGTAGGGAGGTGGCGACGCACAGCAAGACGTGCAGCAGCATCGCGAGTGGCCCACTGAGAGCGGACAGTGGGATCAGCATCAGCAGCAGGAGCAGGAGAGGCGCCAGAGGTGAGGTCAAAGAGAGAAAGGTCATCAGCCCTGTCGCACTGTAAGAACAGCTGCAGGTCGTCTAACCAGACCTCAAAATCAATGGCGCGACCCTCAGCGTCAAAAGCTAGGACACTAGGGGTAGCCATGACGACGACAGCGAAGTAGTGCAAGCAGTAGGGGAAGAGCACGGAGTGACAGTGCGACTGTGCTCACCAGGCAGGGCAGGCCGGGAAACTCTGCAGAAGGGCGGCTCGGCGACTCAGCGACTCGGCTGCTGGGCGGCTCGGCTCCCGGGCGGCTCGGCGGCAGGGCGGCTCGGGTGCAGGGCGGCTCAGCGCCCGGGCGGCTCGGCGGCAGGGCGGCTCGGGTGCAGGGCGGCTCGGCTCCCGGGTTGCTCGGCGGTAGGGCGGCTCGGGTGCAGGGCGGCTCGGCTCCCGGGCGGCTCAGCGGCAGGGCGGCTCGGGTGCAGGGCGGGGCTGGGACAGGGGACGGCGGGGCCGTCAGGGTGCAGCGGCGGGGCCGGCAGGGTGCAGCGGCGGGGCCGTGACAGGGGACGGCGGGGCCGTCAGGGTGCAGCGGCGGGGCCGGCAGGGTGCAGCGGCGGGGCCGGCAGGGTGCAGCGGCGGGGCCGTGACAGGGGACGGCGGGGCCGTCAGGGTGCAGCGGCGGGGCCGGCAGGGTGCAGCGGCGGGGCCGTGACAGGGGACGGCGGGGCCGTCAGGGTGCAGCGGCGGGGCCGGCAGGGTGGAGCGGCGGGGCCGTGACAGGGGACGGCGGGGCCGGTAGGGTGCAGCGGCGGGGCCGGGACAGGGGACGGCGGGGCCGTCAGGGTGCAGCGGCGGGGCCGACTGGTGCAGTGGCGGGGCCGTTAGGGTGCAGCGGCGGGGCCGACAGAGGTGCAGCGGCGGGGCCGGGAGTAGGACGGCGGGGCCGTCAGGTGACGGGGTCCGCTGCAGCGACGAAGAGGCCGCGCGGCCGGCGTGAGGGCGGCGCGGCGCGGCAGAGCCGAGAGGGCGGCGCGGCGCGGCCGTAAGGCCAGCGCGACGTGGGGCCCGGGCCGCGCGCGCGCGCGAGAAAAAGGGAGTCGCGCGCGCGAATCTCGGGGCGCCACAAGGGCAGTGCGACAAGCACTAGGGGGAGCGCGCCTCGGGGAGAATAGGGCGCGCTCCGGGCAGGGAAAAAAAAATCGTGGGTGGGCCCTTAAAAAAACGGTCCTTAGGAGGGACCCGCTCTATACCATGTGAAAAGAATAAACAGGAATGAATGACTAAGGAAAGATTGGGTACAAATACAACCCTAGAAACTCTGTACCCCATATGTGCTACCCCACTATAGCCTACAAACATGCATCAGCTATAATACTCTGACACCGCCAACCCTACGGGGTCCCGTTCGTTGCCCATTTGTGCACCCCCTTTTTTTTTTTTTTTTTTTCATTCAGATTCCAGTCTAGGCCGCCTGGCTGGCAAAGCCATGGCGGAATTCAGCGGGACCCACTTCCTCTTCAAGAAAAAACCACAACGCCCATGGCGACAAACCGACGATGGGTGGTATACCCGTAAGCCACCAGCACCTCCATCGCATGCACCAATGAGCAGGTGTCAGGTGATGGGGGTATGAGGTTATGGGGCGATGGCGTATAGGGGGGATGAAGAAAGATGTAGCAACATGAACTCCATTCCAAACCCAAGGGCGAGGGCCCCAAGAGATGTAAAATGGACACAGTGTCTCCATTAGCAGCAGCACTATCCGTGCCAGGCGCCTCCTTCATGGCACGCTGTGCAGGTGACAAGGGTGTGACTCACGGGCAGCCGTCATGAGCTTGGTGGCGAGACCCAGCTTGCGGTGAGTGCGCGTCACACTTGACATGACAGAGAGCACACTCGCGAGAAGCCACGAGCAGCCCCTCTGTCTACTCATGGGCACCCCATCACTCACGGGCAGCTGTCATGAGCTTGGTAGCAAGCCCCAGCTTGTGGTGAGTGCGCGGCACAGTTGACATGACAGAGAGCACACTCGCGAGCAGCAGCCTCAAGACACTCATGAGCAACCAACACAATACTGCCCCACTCTCTCTGCCCACACGCGCCCCCTCTCTCGCTACTCACGGGCAGCCGTCATGAGCTTGGTGGCGAGCCCCAGCTTGTGGTGAGTGCGTGAAACAGTTGACATGACAGAGAGCACACTCACAAGCTCCAATCAGTGTCTACCACGAGCAGCCCCTCGTTCTACTCACGGGCACCCCGTCACTCACGGGCAGCCGTTATGAGCTTGGTGGCAAGCCCCAGCTTGCGGTGAGTGCGTGATACAGCCAGCGATGTGATGTGCCCGCGACACTCCGTTGACTCCTCCTCCCTACCCATACCACCACGCCATGCCCATGTCCATGCCCGTGCGCGTGCCCATGTCGTGACATGCCATGCCATGCTATGCCATACCATACAATGTCATGGCATGCGGCACCCCAGTAATGGCCCAAGCACAGAAGTCACACCACACATGGTCGGGTGGGAAGATTCGTGAGGAAAGTTGCACTAGATTTGTTGCAGAATAATACACTCGCAACTCATTACACTCACATCTTGGCAAGCACGTAGCCGACGATCATCTTGTTCAATCTACCCACTCAATCCCCACCACACTCACCCTCGCTTCACACACATCTTGGCAGCACACACGCATCCCTCATTACACTCACATCTTAGGGAGCACATAGCCAACAATCTTCTTATTATAGTCCTCTGCCATATAGAGCAGTTGTGGCCACGAGAGGATGTGGTACAAGTAGTAATGGGGGAGAGGGGTGGGAAGGCATGGGTGAGCGGGGGATGCAGGTAAGGGTTGTGTGGGAAGAGTGAAACGAGAGCATTGGGTCCTCTGCCACGTAGAGCAGCTGTGGCCACGAGAGGATGTGATATAGGTAGTACTGGGGGAGGGGGGTGTGAAGGGGTGGGGGGAGGGGGAGAAGACAGGTAGATGAAGACAGGAAGAGAACAGCTAGGTCCTCTGCCGCGTAGAGTAGCTGTGGCCATGAGAGGATGTGGTAGAGGTAGTATTGGAAGGGGCAAGAGGGGGGGATGGGATGGGGAAGTAGGGAAGAAGTGGGGTGGGGGGATTGTGTGGGACTGGTGAGAAGAGAACAGCTAGGTACTCTGCCACGTAGAGCAGCTGTGGCTACGAGAGGACATGGTACAGGTAGTACGGGAAGGTGGGAGAGAGGATTGTGTGCTATGGGGGGAACTACGGGCCAAGAAGACACGACAGGATGTGGTACAGATGGTACCACAAGGGAGGGGAGAAAAACACAGAATGTCAAGAAGCGTAGCATGACAGGAAACGGGTGGTATTGCTTGGAGAGCAGGGGAAAGGAGAAGGGGGGGGCGCGGGAGGAGGGGCGTGGGTGGGTGAGGAGAGAACAGTAGGTCAGGACATGATAGGATGCGATGCGCTATGGGTAGCACTGGAGGGAAAGGAAAGGGGAGCGGATGGAGGGGAAGGAAAGAGGGGGAGCGGGGGATTGGACAAAGGAAGAAATCCGTCACTTCCCTCCTAACATTTTGCTCCCACCTTCGCATTATCCCCGTCATCGAATCATCCCACAGTCCTACCATCCCCACCATCCTCCCTCCTACCATCCCACCATCCTCCTTCCCACCATCCCACCATCCTCCCTCCCACCATCTCCCTTTCATTCCACCATCCACCACCTTCTTACCTTCATCTGGTAGTTCTCCGGCAGGCACATGAGGTTGCAGCTCTGCATCGCCAGCAGGTCCTCCACCTGTCCATGACGATTCAAAGGGCAACATGCGTTGAAGTGCAAGAGGGTTAGGGTTGAGAGGGGTTAAGAGCATGAGGGTTTAAATGCTATTAAGCGGTGCCGCGGTAAGGTTTGAGAAAGGGAACTAGGGCATCGGCTGCAGGCAATTGCGATGATCGGCTGAAGGAAAGCGGAATCGAATACTGAGACGCATTTGCTGCTGAAAAGGGGATGGAGTCGGTCTTTGGAAAAGCGACGGTGACGCGTTATGAGAGGAGCGACGAAACATCGCGCAAACGGCAGCGCACGTAATGTGGGCCACGCTGAACCATATTGCAACAGGTGAGCATGTAATCTACAAATATACGACACTGCTAGGCTGGCCGACACAGAACCATAGTTAACCGGCCACAGCCTTCAGCCATGAACGTTAACGTAAATCTGGACGGTTTTAGTCGAGCTTAGTTGCGCGCCAGGTGCAAAAAAATAACGTTGTTCAATCTAACCGTGATTGGGCTGTGCGCTCTGAATCTGGCTCCAAAAGAGTTCAAATAAAGGCTGAGTCGCGACTTACGATGGCCTGCCGAATGCACACCGTGGCGACGAGAGGGTCGGAGCGAGAAACACGCGAATGAGAGAGCGAGCTGGCGGACAACGCAGCCGGAGGAGACGAGGAGGAACGATGAAGTCACGTGTGCAACAGGCTTTAATGCGACGAGAGGGAAAGAGGGATGTAGCCGAAAAAACCCACCAACACATCACTCCATGAAAGAGAATCTATAGAAGATAAGGAAAGGGAGAAGGAAGGTAAAGCTGCCAAAAAATCCTAAATGCAACAACACAGAAAAACCCCATCAAAATACCCAGTCAAAAAACCCTGTCAAGACACCCCATCAAGACACCCCATCCCGCACCCCATTTCACCCCCCCCTCGGTTGGGTTTGTTGAACCCGAAAGCGACGCGGTGTACGTTCGGGGGGCGAGGCTGTCGGGTCAAGCCTGGTCTTCAGAATTTGGTCCTTGCACTATATATATGTATACATGTATATATGTATATATATATTTGAAATTCTGGTACAAGTCATGATAGAAGGCTCCCGACCACCGATCATAGCCAGAGTGCAACAAGGCAAGGCTATTGAGTGGAGGGATATATCTCAGCAGCTGGTGAGAAGAAGAGTGAACGAGAGAATGAGTGAACTATGAACGAAGTGAGTACAAATAGGAAACCCTAGTTGGGTTGTACCCCCTATGGGATACCCCACTATAGCCTACACAAATAAGTAAGCTATAATAGTCTGACACACCCCCATAGGCAAAGTGGGGGAGAACAAGGGGTCACAAGACCAGTCAAGCAAAGCAAAGCAAAGCTCAGGGTGGATCACAAAGTCACCACACATTCCGAGCACAAGTTCAAAGGCCACAAGGCCAGTTCACATGCAAGATCATATATAGAGATATACAAGAGTCAAGCAAGCAAGAACAAGAGTATATATAGGTCAAGGTACAAGCAAGGTCAAGTGAGAAAGTGAGGCAAGACAGGCACAAGACCCAGCTGCGTGCAGCAACGCTGATGATCACAAGGCGCAAGTGCCTTGGTGAAGACATCAGCAGTGTTGGCCTCAGAGGCCACGTAAGCAAGTCGCAACTATCCACGCTGCTGTAGCTCACGAGCAAGAAAGTAGCAGAGAGCAATGTGCTTTGTCCTGTGCTCCAGTCGCTGCTCTCGACACAAGGCCAGCATGGCCTTGTTGTCTACGTACAGGACTGGAGGAGAACGCGGCGGCTCTCCAAGGCCGGTCAGCAAGTAGGTGAGCCAGCGAAGCTCCTGGGCAGCCATAGCCCCGGCGTAGATCTCAGCCTCACAACTGGAGCCGAGAACAGAAGACGAGCGGGTAGCCCGCCACGAAACAAAGCCGGAACCAAGGCTGAAGGTGTAACCCTGTGACGACCGCTGCGTAGCCTGGTCGTCAACCCAAGAAGCGTCCGCGTGCCCAGTGAGGACCACTGGACTGCGCCCTCCAAGCACTAGCCCCATGCCCGACGTACTGCACAAGTAGCGCAACACCCTCTTCGCTGCAGCCATGTGCTCTGGTCGGTGTCTCCCAGGAGCAACATAGCGTGCGAGAATGCTAAGAGGGTATGCAAGGTCAGGTCGTGTGCAGGTCATCAGGTACATGAGGCAGCCAACAAGCTCTGCATACGGGCCACTCGACTCTACGGACTCATCCGAGGGCAGAGCTGAGAGCGAGTGGCGAGTAGGCAGAGGAGTGGCCTGAGGCGAGGAGTACGTGAAGCTGAAGCGCTGAAGGACCTGCTGCACCATGTGTGACTGAGTCAGGGTAATGGTGTGGCGTGCTCTTTCCCGGGTGATCTGCAAGCCAAGGTAGCTGCGCAGTTCACCCAGGTCAGTGCACGTGTGTCTCTTCTGCAGCTCGGACTTCACGTAGGCGAGTCCAGCAGTGTCAGCTGTGGCAAAGACCAAGTCGTCGACGTACACGAGGATGTAGAACGGCGCCGGAGAGGTGTCAGTGCGCAGAAACAGTGACGGGTCGGCAGTAGAAGGAGCAAACCCAAGTGCCGCCAGCGTAGTCCTCAGTGTGTCGTGCCACTCATGCGGCGCCTGGCGGAGACCGTAGACTGGACGCCGGAGACTCCACTGGGTACCAGGAGGGAAAGACCCAGTGAAGCCAGGTGGGCGACGCAGCCAGATCTCCTCGTGCAGGCTGCCCTGCAAGAAAGCAGTGCTGAAGTCGAGAGAGTGCAGCTCGTAGTCACGGTGAGCAGCAACGTGCAGCAGTACCCGAAGAGTGGTCATCTTCGGGGTGGGGGAGAAGGTCTGAAAGTAGTCAACTCCCTGCCGCTGACTGAAGCCACGAGCCACGTAACGCGCCTTGAAGACAGGCGGAGAACCCGGCGGCCGCTTCACCCTGAAGATCCACATGCCACTGACTATGTTCGCCCCAGGAGGGGGAACAGCGTCAACGTAGGTGCCTGTGGACTTCCAGGAAGCCATCTCTGCATCCATAGCTGCCTGCCACTAAGAGGAGTAGGGACCCTCTATCGCCTCCGCGTAAGAGCGCGGAGTCGGGATGTCTAGTGCATCCGGGTCTCCCTCAGGGGCTAACAGTACAGACGCGAGATGAGGTGAAGCGGCGACCAGACACTGGAACTCCTCGTGCCTGTCCTCAAGTACGTCCGTGCCAAGGGCACACTCACCCCCGACGGACGGAGGACAGACGGACTCAGACTCAGCGACAAGACTAGCAGCGTAGTCTAGACGACAGCGCGCAGCAAAGTCAACAAGCTCAGTGACAAGGGCAGACGTAGCAGAAGACTCGAAAGAAGGGTCAGTGACAGCAGTAGCAATGAGACGCGTGACAGTAGGACTGGCAGCACGAAGAGAGTCCGACTCCGGGTCGGCAAGAGCAGGAAAAGAGGAAGCAGGAGGAGAAGGAAAAGGGGCACGCAGAGGAGCAGTAGACGGACGCAGAGACATCCGGTGCGTGCCAGGGACAGGAGGAGGACGCTGACGCGAACCGCGACCACTAGTGCGCGCAGTACGAACAGGCGACGCAGGACGAGACGCAGGCTCACGACGCTCAGTAAGACCTCCAGTCAGACCAGCGTAGGGAGAAGGAGCAAGCAAAGGGGAGGCAGGCTGTAGCTGTGACTGGACAGGCTGTGGACCCTCTAAGGGAAGAGGAGGAGGACCAGGGGAAGGTGTAAGACCAAGAACCTGCTGCAGGAGCGGAACGAAGTACGGTCGGGGCCGCGAGGCGACTCCAGAAACAGCAGGGACAGCACCAGTACCCCTAGCAGGAGTATCCGCTCCAGCAGCACCTCCAGCAGCACCTCCAATAGCTCCAGAACCCCCAGCAGCACCTCCAGAAGCCCCAGAACCCCCAGTAGCACCGCCAGCTGGACCGCCAGCGGTAGTCTCAGCGCCAACACCGTCAGCAGTACCAGCTCCAGAAGAACCCTCAGGCCCAGCAACTCCAGTACCCCCAGGACGAGCACCTCCAGGACGCGTTGCAGCAATACCCTCTGCAGCCGAAGAACCTCCAGCACCAGCAGCACGCCTCCAGCGCCGGGCAAACCACTCACGCAGCTCCTGTGGGGAGAGTGGCTCTCGGTGAGACGAAGCACCTCCAGGCGGAGAACCTCCAGGCGAAGAACCTCCAGGCTCAGCACCCCCAGGCAAAGCACCTCCAAGCAGAGCACCCCCAGGCACAGCACCCCAAGGCTCAGCACCCCCAGGCCCAGCACCCCCAGGCTCAGCACCCCCAGACTCAGCACCCCCAGGCTCAGTACCCCCAGGCTCAGCACCCTCAGACTCCGCACCCCCAGTCTCAGCACCCCCAGGCGTAGCACCTCGAGTCCCAGTACCCCCAGGCTCAGCTCCCGCAGCAGCACCAGAGTCACCAGTGACCTCGACAGGCTCAACCGCGTCTACCTGGGACACACCTGAAGGGGCAGGACCCTGAGGGGGGAGGGGGTCGACCGGGGGGGGACCTGGTACCAAGAAGAGCAGGGGCGGGGGGAGGGACGGAGTGCGGTAGGGGAAGAGGCGGTAGTAGGGTACCGACTCGTCGAACGTGACATCCTGGGAGGACAGAACACGTCGAGAGGAGGGGTGGTAGAACTGCCACCCAGGGGCGTCGGGGGGGAACCCCAGGAAGACGCAGGGAGCAGCGCGAGGGGACAGCTTGTCCGCAGACAAGTCGCGGACAAACGCCCGAGATCCCCAGACCCGGAACGCCGACGCATCGCCAACCTTCCCCGTCCACAGCAGGGCTAGGGAGGTCTCCGGCCTGGAGACCCTGGGGTGGAGGTTGATCTGATGCGCCGCGTACCTGACCGCAAACGGCCACTGAAAATGGGGGGCAGCCGCATGCATCATAGACGTACGAGCGACGTCCATGACCATGCCAATACGGCGCTCAACAATCCCATTTTGCTGCGGTGAGTCCGGAAGCGTGAAGGTCTGGCGGATGCCTCGCGCACGACAGAAGGCACGCAGAAGGCCAGAGGAGAACTCTCCGCCTCTGTCCGAGTGCAGACGCAACACAGGAAAGTCCAAGCCAAAGCTCTGCCTGAGTCGGAGACGAGCTGCGCGGATCCAGTCGATCAGCACCTCAGTGACATCACCCTTGCTGCGCAAGGGGAAGACTGTGGTGTAACGCGAGTAGTCGTCAACCACTAACAGGAAGTAGCGCTCGTGACCGAGTCCACGGACGCGGGCAGGGCCCCACACATCCATGTGAAGCGTCTGCAACGGAGCCTCTGTCGGAGGAAACTAGGAGGAGTGAGGGGCAGCGCGCTGGCGCCCCTCGACACAGGGGACACAGGCAGGGCCAGGGCCCTGAGGAAGGGGAGGGAGGGACCGGGGAAGACCAGAAACAAGAAGACGGGAGGCCATGCCTCTGAGTCGAAGCAGAGAGGGGTGGCCAAGGCGGTGGTGCCAGAGGAGAGTCTCGTGAGACAGACGGCGACACGAACAGGGGGCAGACTCAGGACCTGACCTGGACGCTGCAGCAAACACCTGACTAGACGAAGGGACTCTACCAGACTCAGCACCGGGAGGAGAAGCAGTGGTCAGTGTGTACAGGCTCGACCCTAGCTGACGTGTAAACGTAGCCAGGTGGCGACCTGTGCTAGCCTCTGTGCAGTGTGTTACCCGCTGACGAGCAGGAGTGAACTGGTGGACACCCACATCCTGTAGGTCAGCACCACTCACCAAGTTCGTAGAGAACAAGGGGAGGTAGAGACCAGTCAGGGCGCCAGAGGGAGCCGCCGGACACGGGAGGACTGTGGAGAAACGAGACCGGACAGGACCCCCAGAGGGGTCAGCCAGGGACACCGCAACCGGCCGACTAAGCGGCGTGAGAGTGGTGCGGTCCTGAAAGAAGGAGCGAGACGCCCCAGAGTCAAGGGTGAAGGTGTGAGAGGCCAAAGCCGACACAGTACCTGAGAGTGCAGACTCACTAGTACCTGAGAGCACAGACGCACTGGCACCTAGAGCAGCAGCCTCACTGGCACCTGACGCAGCAGTACCAATGCCCGGGTCGGGCGGGAAACACCGGTAACAGTCACCCTCGTCACTAACAGTCACAGCATACATGGCAGCAAGGATAGCATCAAAGTCAAGATCAAAGATAGCTACACCAGCCCTAGACAGCTCTCCCCAGCGGGGGATCTCAGAGGCCTCCAGAAACTGCTGGCGCCAAGCGTCGGTCAAGCGGGCAAAGCAGCGGCGGGCGGTGTGGGTGCCCCCACACTGCTCACCCACGCGGTCGCCGGTGCGAAGGACGTAGGTGCATGGACCGAACGCCCCACCACGCTGACGCTGCGAGTACCACTGACGGAGCTGCTGAGGGGTGGGGACGTCGCGAGAGCGCTGCTGCTGCTGCTGCTGCTGTTGCTGGCGCTGACCACACCCAGTGCTGCTCCGCTGGGACGAGCCACTCCGACCACCTCCACCACCGCCACCACCGCCACCGCCGCCACCGCCGCCACCGCCACCCTCGCCCCCGCCGCTCCCACCGCCACCTCCGCCACCACCTCCGCCGCCGCCTCCGCCTCCACTGCCGCCACCAGCACCTCCACTCCCGCCACCACCTCCACCGCCACCCCCACTCCCTCCGCCGCCCCCACCTCCTCCGCCATCGCCCCCGCTAGCTCCACCCGCTCCCTTGCCCCCCTTGCCCCTGCTAGAGCGGCGCCTACCGCTGGGGGCAGACGCCGCACCGACCGACTCCAAACCAACGAGGTCGGCCGCAGCAGCAGAGGGGACAGAGGGTAACAGGGGGGAGGGAGAACACCCCTCAAAGATGGGGGTGCGAGGGTCACCACGAGAGGCCCCTACAGCGACTATACTCTTCTCAGCCGCTAGCAGGGACTTCTCTAGGAGGTCGACAGTGAGTGTGGTGGGACAGAGAGAGAGAAACTGGTCCCTAACGGCAGGAAGGGACTCAGGGAGACGGGTGACTAGAAAGTAGAGAGTGATGTACATGGGAGGAGGGTTTGCGGCGCGGAAGTCAGCACGAAGCGCAGCGCGGTAGCGAGTGTCACTAGCGCAGAGGTGGGTAAAGAGGTCAGCGACTGTGGGAAAGGTAGCGAGGTCAGGGAAGAGGTACGTTCGCATGAGGCGGCTCAGCGTAGCGGAGGAAGGGGAGGAGTAGCGCGCAACTACAGCGTCGTACAAGGCCTGAGCGGTCTTGCACTGGCTAAAGTGCGCACGCTCGGAGGAAGGGAGGTGGCGACGCACAGCAAGACGTGCAGCAGCATCGCGTGTGGCCCACTTGAAGCGAACAGTGGGGTCAGCATCAGCAGGAGGGGCAGGGACAGCGCCAGAGACAAAGTCAAAGAGAGAAACCTCATCTATCGCATCGCACAGTAAGTACAGCTGCAGGTCCTCGACCCAGACTGCAAAGTCAATGGCGCGACCCTCAGCATCAAAAGCCAGGACACTGGGGGTGGCCATTATAGCAGCTGACAGTCTCACCGAGCAGGAAGAGTCGGGTAGCTCAGTAGTACAGCAACACGGCAGCACAGCGGCTGTGCCGGTCCGGGAGCAGCAGCAGCCCCTCAGGAGCAGGAGCTCGGCACCTCAGGTTGCTCGGGCAGCTCGGGCGGCTCGGGCGACTCGGGCGGCTCGAGCGGTTCGGGCGGCTCGGGCGGCTCGGGCGGCTGAGGCGGCTCGGGCGGCTCGGGCGGCTCGGGCGGCTCGGGCGGCTCGGGCGGCTCGGGCGGCTCGGGCGGCTCGGGCGGCGCAGGCGTCTCGCGGGCGGCGCACGGGTGACTGCACGAGCGGCTGGGGCGGGTCACGGGCGGCGCGCGGGCGGCTCACGGGCGGCTGGGGCGGCTCACGGGCGGCTGCACGGGCGGCTGGGGCGGCTTGCGGACTGCTCGCGGGCGGCTCGCGGGCTGTGCACGGGCGGCGCGGGCGGCGCACGGGCGGGTGGGTGGCTCGCGGACGGGCGGCGCACGGGCGGGCGGCTCACGGACGGGCGGCGCACGGGCGGCGCCAGTGGCTCACGGGCGGGCTGGTGGCGCACGGGCGGGCGGCTCACGGGCGGCGCCGGCTCACGGTCGGGCGGCGCGCGGGTGGGCGGCTCACGGGCGGCGGCTCACGGGCGGCGGCGCACGGGCGGCGTCTGACGGGCGGCTGCTTACGGGTGGCGGCTGACGGGCGGCGCTCACGGGCGGCGGCTCACAGGCAGGCCGCGGGCGGCTCACAGGCAGGCCGCGGGCGGCTCACGGGCGCGAGGGCAGGCGCCGGGCGCTAGGGCGCTAGGGCTGGCGCTAGGGCGGGCGCTAGGGCGGGCGCTAGGGCGGGCGCTAGGGCGCTAGGGCGGGCGCAAGGGTGGGCGCTAGGGTGCTAGGGCGCTAGGGCAGAAAGAAAAAAAAAAGTTTTCCGAAGTGGTGGGCCCTAAGCAAAGTTCCCACAAGGGAACCTGCTCGATACCATGAGAAGAAGTGAACGAGAGAATGAGTGAACTATGAACGAAGTGAGTACAAATAGGAAACCCTAGTTGGGCTGTACCCCCTATGGGATACCCCACTATAGCCTACACAAATAAGTAAGCTATAATAGTCTGACAGCTGGCTGGCGCCGCGCGCTGGAAACTTGTGGAAGGAGGAGCCAATCGCATGATGAGCCAAGATTGGGTGCTATACTTGTACCTTATTGATACATAATGGCACGATCCTATGAGTTGTCGTAACGAGCGGCAAGCAACGATTTGTCTGCGAGCACTCGCCGGAAATGGCTTTGAAGTTGGTCACATCGAGTTGGCACTTCCACTAGCCCTCAGCAAGCTCATGGCCCTCAGCTAGAGTCACAGCTGAGAGCTGCAGCAGCACTTGCAGGAGTTTGGGCTGCACTGGTTGGAGACCTTGGTGGCGAAGGTGGTGGCTTTTGATGAGCACAGCTGGCTCAAGTACGGCCAGAAGAAATTGCACCCGTCCAGTGCCACCATGTCAGCCTCGCGTTGACATATATTGACCGTGCTTGATTTTTGTACTCCTGACCCTGCTGCTCGCCCCGTTAGGTCTTGTTGAGCATTGTGCCATCCCTTATCAACATCTTTTGACTTGAATCTTGTTGGCTCCGTCTGCCCTTTGTGCTCTCCTCGCCCTGGCAAGTGCTACTACAAGTGCAGTCTTGCCAAGGCCATTCCTCACTACTCGGCCAAGAAGGACGTTGACATCCATGCCTTTTACAAATTCTGACTCCACAACCACCCAGTATCTCCAAATCGGCGTATGCCTTACTACCCTAGCATCCCTGTTCCTAACCGCCCTGCTGGCCACCATATTAACCTTCCGGCTTCACATGGCGCGCTTGGCACTGCAACACATAATGCCATTCGACTTGTTGCTTCTTGTGGGGACCTTGAGGCCCTCGTGTAAGCCTTGGAGCATGGGTGCGTGGGAGTGACTGCTCATGGCGGTGATGTCAATATTGTTTTCTAGTGGTGCTTGTGGTGCTGCTGTTCATGCTGGTGCTGGTGTTAGTGCTGCTGCTGCTCAGGGTGGTGACGGTGCAGCTGATGCTGCTGCTGCTGCTGCTGGTGGTGGTGGTGCTGGTTCTCCTGTCA